GGAGCGGGACGGTGCTCCGGGCTGCGAGCGGGGCGGCTCGGCTCCGCGCTCCCCAGAGCCCTCCGACCCCGCCTTGGGCCGAGCCTAGCCCTTCAGACGGGGCTGCCGTGCTGTGTAGATGGTGATGCTGATATTTCTGTTCTGGTGCCTTACGTTTAGAAACCGTCTGGGTCACCGCGCTGAGACATAACGCTACAGGCACCCAATAAATGCGGACAGAGCCTTGAATGCGGATCCACCGATAAGAACCTCCGCTTGGCAAGCAGCAGGTGAGTCACTGGAAACATTTTCTATCTTTACTGTGGAAAGCCTCCAGCCCAGAAGGTTCCTTCGGAAGCCTTCTGTGGTGCCAGGCACCCAGGAGCAGTAATAGTAAGTAGCGGTCATCTCATTACCAACTTCTTGCTCATTAACCTGATTTCTCGCGAAGAGCAGGGGAGGAGGAATCTACACAGGCTGGTAAAAGGTAAAACGGGGAAATACCGATAAAATAAATTGACATTGGACATCGCTCTTTATTATTATGGAGGGAATCCCGCAGTCTTTACAGACGGATCGAACATTTTCTATTTCTGCTTCTGCCCCGTCCAGCTCTTCGAGCTTATGTCAAGACCACAGGCTTTCCTTGGGTTTCTCTGCCCTATCCTTTATGAGTTTGTTCCTACCCAGCTACTAGAACTTCTATCACTTGACAGTAAAAAAAAGACAAAACAACCCCCTCCCCCCCAACCAACCAAGCAAACAAACAAAACCCCCCAAACCCAAATAACTTTCCGGGCAATGGGAATTTGAAGGGGAAATAAAGTTTCTTGGGATTTTGAAAAAGGCTTGCGTGTCATAACACACAAACTAAAATACACATCTGGAGCTGAATTTCTGCCTGGCATGTTTATCGTCCAGCAGGATCACAGTTGCTTCCACAGTGATTTGTCCTGGAGTGATCTGCAAAAACGTCGCCCTCGCAAACACGATTTTAAAGTTTCTTATACAGAGACCCAGGATTCAAATTACGATATATAGCACATCTCCGCCTCGACAAATATGTTTGAACTTGTCCTCTAAATGCGTTTTCTGTTATCCCTTTCTTTGTTCTTTCGCTCCTCGTCCTTCTTTCTTTAAATCTGGCAACAGAATTAAGTCAAATCCTCGAAACAAACAAAACTCTGGAATCAGCAGACGAGAACAAGGGATGAAAATGTGTCTTGAAGGAAATAAAATAGGTAAAAGCACCGGATTAAACCTCTACTTTCTCAAATGGTCAAACTACACCCATGGAAGTTGGAACAAAACCCAGTGGAAAATCTGAGAGAGATTAAAATTGCTGTCTGCATCTATGCACCCTCTCTCTT